TTACCCCCTTAACGCCCCGGAGCGGGCCCTGCCACCCGGCTGCCGCGAAAGGGGGCTTGCGCTTCCAGGTGTCGGCGGCGTTGAAGGAAGGACATGTCACTCCGACGGAGCTCTGCCAGAGGTGCCTTTCCCTCATCAAAAGCACCAAGTTTCTTAACGCTTACATCACCGTAGCGGAAGAAACTGCTTTGAAGCAGGCTGAAGAATCAGAGGAAAGATACAGAAGAGGTATGTTTGCTCGTACTCGGTATTTAGTCCTTAAAAAGCTGTCGCAGAGGAGCTCTTGTGCTGGATGAAGCATGCTTTCTTTTTAAAGGAGGTGTGTGCCCTACTTGTTTGACCTACTAGGGGACGGAGGCTTGCGGTCAAGGCTTCTGTGGGTGCGTGCCCGTGGGTGTACGCTTGGCATCTTGGCGGGGTATTCAGATCAAAAATCAGAAGCAAAACCTGGACCGCGCCAGGCGCTGCAGACTAAATAGGCTGTGTGCTTCGTGAGCAGCGCTGCTACTGGTTGCCTCTTCTTGCCCTCAGCAGTTCGTTTCGAATTGGTAGCCACCAGTTACCAGGCGAACAGGAAGGTGCAGTGGTCTTTTGCAGGTCTTCTGGCTGGGGTAGACAAACACCTGGCTTAGCCTATCAGGTTTTCAGTTAATAAAGCAAATGAAAATAAAGCGAGTTTGTTAATTGCAGTTATTGGTTGGTGAACAGGACGGCGCCCGGTCTTGTTATCTGCAGCATTTAGAGGCTGACCATCCTCATTTTCCTTTGCATTTACCAGAAGACGGAGAAAGGGAAATTGTCCCCTAACAGGGTACTTCTTTTCCTTTCTGGGTGACACTTGCTGTCCTCTAGCAGCTTAGGAAACTTGTGCTGGCTGCAGGGTGTTTTGCTTCCTGACATAAGCTTTTTGATTTATTTTTTTTGCTGGATGGTGGATAATTGATCACTTAGGGCAGATTTTCTCTGCTTCAGTAATTTTTTATTTTTTTTTTTATTACATCTACTGTGTATGTCAGGTGGGCAGAATTTATGGCTTCCAGCCTAGGGATGAAGTAGATTTAGGCAGCACCTATGGCTGAAATAAGCATTACATGGTCACATTTGAAGAGGTGGGCACTCCTTTGGGATGGCCATCCTGTATGAAAGCAGCTGCCTTGTGGGCTTAGACAAATTTGCAGAGCTCTGGTTTGGGCAGAATGCTCAATGCTAGAATTAGAATAGAAGGTGGTTCTTGAAAGTGTAACAGACAACGATCAAATGCTAAGTGGATAGCATTCTTCTCCCAGAAAATACCCAAGGGGATGCATAAAATAAACTGTAATTGATAAGAAGACTATACGTATAGCACACTTTGCTTTAATCTCTGCTGTTTTCACAATAATTCCTAATGCAGGTCAGCCGCTGGGTGTTTTAGATGGAATTCCTATTGCAGTAAAAGACAACTTTAATACAGCTGGCATTGAGACAACATGTGCATCAAACATGCTAAAAGGTACAGTAGAGCTTTTAAAGTAAAATCAGATCTCATTTCAGAGCTCTTGCTCCCCTCTTTAGAGGGTTTACAGAAATCTAAATATTTTCAAAAAAGTGAGCTGAAATCATTTGGGAAGATACCTGATTTCTTCTGCCAAGCTCGTCTGATATTACAGATGCATCTTTTTCTTGTGTAAGCACATTATCTCTTTTATTCATATGCTTTTAACAACATAGTGTTTATTCTAGCCTATTTACTAAAATAGAGTTGTTGTATCGTTTGCATTTTGCTTCACATTAGTTTTAGGTCTACAGGAGAGCGGTCTGCTCTGTCTAGCAAAATCCAAAGATGGTCTTTTTTTTTTTTATTATTTTTTTTTTTTGTTCTGCTGATAATTATTTTTTTTTTTTTTTTTTTTTTTTGTTCTGCTGATAATTGTAGACTTAGGTAGTTTTTTCATATGGCTGTAGAAAGAGTAGACATTAACAACTCTTTTCTCTATATTCCTGATACACAAACGTGTTCTATAGAGCTTTTCTAGTTTTTTGAAATTTCCTAAGCTCATTGTTTCTGTTACCACGCCATGAACATTTGCAAGGTGTTGGAATGTTTCCATAGTAAAAGCAAAAGTCAAAAATATTTCTTATATGTGTTTTATTCTTCACAAAGTAAAACTGAAAAGTTTTGTGGAAGATAGCTCAAGTAAATTAACAGAATCCATATCTGTTAAGGGGTTTTTTTTACTAGCAGAAGAACCAAATATGACTTTACCATTTTAAAAGTGTTACATTATCTGAGATGCTTTTTCTTAAAGCACATTCTGAGACCCTTTACGATTGATTGCAATGTCATGGCTGAGAGTATTATGAGTGATGTTGTCCTTGTTCCCGTTGCGGGGGGGGATGGTGAAACCCCTGTCAACATTCACAAAGGGAACTGGTTGCTACGTAGGGCTTCATGTAAGTGTCATAGTTCTCATCCTAGTTTATCTAAGGTTGGAGTGGTTAAGGGTGCACGTTTGATCACAGGATAGCCAGTTAGTATTTCAGCTTGTGGTTAACCGTGTTCTCCTTTATCTCACAGTAATGGGCGATAATTCAAGATGGCTTAGTGCCTTTCTGTAAAGAGCCGTTTCGTCTTTCTTCTTATTTTAGACAGTTCCTGCAAATTGGCTGATTGCAGTAATTTGCTACCCTTCTGGTAACTTGTGTATGTGAAGTCTTAGCTCCACACGGTACAAATGTATACTACAGAATTACTGGTTTGTAAGTTGTGGAGGAAAAAAAGACGTTGCAAACAAAACAGCATTTGAGTTACTTTTGCTAAATTTTGGAATTTACTCAGTTTATCTTGAAGCAAAATTTTGGTGCGGTGAACTGACAATTCTTATGTATACACTTACAAGTAACAACTTTGAAGTGTTCAAAGTAGCCACTTCTAAAAATCAGCTGTGTCTCATGTCTCACCAATCACTCTTAATTGTTCTGATTGTTTGCAGGTTATATTTCTCCTTACAATGCTACAGTAGTTCAGAAATTACTGGATCAGGGAGCTGTGCTTTTAGGAAAAACAAACCTAGATGAATTTGCAATGGGGTGAGTGATGTTTATTTTTTTTTTTAATGTGTGATTGCACATTAAAGAGAATATACACTATCTGTTCCGATCTACCTGTAATCCTTAACTCCTTTTTTAATGTGTGATTGCACATTAAAGAGAATACAGGTAGATCGGAACAGATAGTGTATAATCCTTAACGCATCTTTCTGTGAGGTTAGAAAATAAAGGATACTTGCCCCTGAAGACTATATAGAGTTGCATGAATTTCTCCCTGAGCATTTGTACTGTTGTGTAAATGACATAAATGCTGAGTTTTATGAACATAGTGTTTGACTATAGCTGTGTTTGAGGGGGAGGAAGCGGTACAGCCTTTGCAGAAGGCCAACGACAAGCAGACTTCTTCCAGATCCGATAGTGTGTTAGTAGAATTGGTTACAGCACCAGTTAATTGCTGCCTTTTTCTCTCTCCTTACTGGTGGTTTTTGCCCTTAGCTAATTATCATGCCCCCGGTGGCAGTCACTGCCTTTGCTGGTCAGCCACTAGAGTAATTTATATGAGTACTCCCTGCTTTGCTGCAAACAGGCTAATCTAGAGCAACACTTTAAAACGCCTAAGCTAATGTTGGTGACTTTTTGTCAGGAGCAGGTTGGAAAATGCTCTCACAAATTGATTCTCCAGCAAATCAGCAAAGGCAGCCAAGCTATAGCAGGGAATAGCACTATGCCATTAGGGATGGGAGTCTGTCACCACAGCTGCTGGGTCTGAAAAGGAATGTCTGGGACTTTAGTTACCTATGACAAACAGTAAGTGTTGTGTTTTGGTTTTCTTTTACCTAAACTGAAGACAGAGGTTTGATTGGGAATGCACGTGGATGGAGTGGAAATACTTTGTATTGTTTTGAATAAAGTAATTTCTGTGTCAAAAGAGACACTCTTTAGAGGAAGAGCAGGGAAAAAGCATGGAAGGAACCTGGTTGTGCAGTATTACAAGTGGTCTAAGCTTATTAAAGCAGAGGATACTCCTAAAGAGGCTTACCCCACCACTGGCCTCTTAGGAAGAGCAGGGAAAAAGCATGGAAGGAACCTGATTGTGCAGTATTACAAGTGGTCTAAGCTCATTAAAGCAGAGGATACTCCTAGAGGCTTACCCCACCACTGGCCTCTCGTCCCTGGTCTGTGCGTTTGCCTGGTCTCTTATGCTAGCAGCAGCACAGCTGCATCATGAGCTTGATCAGGGAGCTGATCCAGCTCAAAAGTAATGATGTCTCAATAAGGTTAGTTTTCAACAGCTGTGTCAGCTGCCCACTCTGATGATTTGGCTAATGACACTGGCACCCTGGAGTCAGAGGGAACATGGGGTGG